CCTCTTCCAGCTGGATTCTGGATGGAACCCAATCTGGTAAACATGCTCAGTGGCCACCTACTGGCCTTGCATGCAATTTAGGTGACCGAAGGGCTATCTTCCCCTGGTTCAAGAGTTGTTCTAGGGATTGAAGCAGGCAATAGGCATCTGGACACCTAGACTGGGGAGCAGTGTGCTTGCCCAGGGTCTAAAACCTAGCTGCCTAGATAGCAGAATGTTAGGTGCTGAGTGAGTTTAGGTGCCTACAGGGTTAGGTGGTAGCCAAGGAGGAGTTTCATGGATGACAGTGGTGCCATGCAAAGGGACTTAGATGCCTGACTCCAGAGTTTAGGTGCCTAAATTTCATCATGCATCACACCCTAACAATTATCACTTTTTTTCTACCAATTAATACATTTTGCATTTTTTTAAAAAGAAGCCCTGCAACAACCTACTTATACCAAACAATGCTAATTACTGCCTAGGTTGAAACATTCAAGTACTGTGTTCTTTACAGCTGTTCCCTCTTTGGCCTGGCATCTCTACTAGTTTGACATGTATTGCTAGTATGTCAGAGTTTTTTATAAAGGTATTTATAAATAGTTCTATGAGTATGTCATAATACTGTCAAAATATGTGGCTTAAAAATTGAATATGATTAGGGTGTGTATGATGGTTTAACAGTTAGCATGGCAGTTCTGCAAGGAATCAAAATTCTTTTTTTCCCAGGTTAGCAGGGAACAGGAGATGAAGTTATTTCAAGGAGCAAGGTAAACTGACTCCAAAGGCAGCAGTATTCAGCCCTGTTGTGAGAAAAGAGTGATGCACAAGTGGTTGGGTGGGTGAAGAAGAGGCATGGGTGTTACAGAATCTCAGTCTCTCTAAGAAGTATGGGTAGGAAGAAAGCACCATGTATACGGTGTTCTGTAATTGTGGAATGTTTCTTTCTCTGTATTTTGGATAGTAATTGCTAGAAAGAATCTTTAGCAACCCACAGGAATCCAGCTAACTAAGGGGAAGGTCAGCAGAAGTTAGTGCTACTTGAACACTTGAGATAAATGTTAAGTCACACTTTCAGATTACTGGCTTGACATCGTTTCTTTAAAGAAAAACATCTTTTTGGCTTTGTGATGGGGTGTATCTACTTGCACTGGCCCCGCAGGGGTTAACTGTGCATTGCAGACTGAGGAAGCCACGCCCCTCCATCTCTGCTGGGCATGCTCAGCCTGGAGAAAGGGTATAAAGGGAAGCAGCCCACCTCAGTTGGGGCAGACTGCTGAGGACTGATGTATATTGTGAGCTCCTGCCACAGAGCTGCGGGAGCCTCAGTTCACAGAGGCCAGTCATGCCAAATCCCAGGTGGACACCGTCCGGCCAGCGTGACCTGGGAAGGGAGTCGCTGCAGACTTCACCACCAGAGGACCCATGGACTGCTGTACTAGGAGACGGGGTAGGAAGTAACCCAGGGGAAATAGATACCAGTTTTGTCATAGTACTGGGAGACTCATCAGTGTGTTTTGGTGGGACCCCCACTGACCTAGTGACACCCCCCCCCCCCCCCCCCAGTTAGAGCTCTGGGCTGAGACCCGGTGAAGCAGGTGAGCCCAGGTTCCCCTATCCCCTGCTGCCAACCCCACTCCAGGTTGGTAGCTTCTCCTCACCTTAGGCCTAGAGGCTTGTGGTTGTCTACTGTTCACCCGAGTCAGAATGCTAGACTATTGAGACTGTGTGTTTACTGCTCTTCCCTGTCTGAGGACCTGAGCACCCTGGGACTGTGTGTTTTCTCCTCCGCCCTGATTGAGGGTCTGAGCACCCCAGACTGTTGATTTGATGCTCTACCCTGCTTGAGGGCCTGAGACTCTTGAGGGCGGCCCAATCTACTCTGACTACTAGGTCACACTGCCCCGAGAGCCAGTGTAGCCCAAAGGACTCTGACTGCTAGGTTGCACTCTCCCGTTTTGTGGGGGAGGCTGTCAGAGAGACTAGCAATTGGGGTGTAAGCTCTCAGCTGACAGTATGTGACTGGACACCCCTTGATGGGGTATATCTACCCTGCGACAGGCTTATCTCAGCAATATGAAAGTCCACAGTAGTAAGTACTTATCTCTGTTAATAGTCTATTTAAAAATAGTGTATGTGATGGTTTGGGGGACAACTTATGTATGTACAACTTATGAATGCTGTTTAATATTATGAACTCACTAATGCATCTACCAAACTACAAACTCCATTTTGTTTTCTGAGCACCATTTTGATTATTACTGTTCTGTGCCGTCACCTTGGCTCCGTAGTCTCCATATTGACCTGGAACACACAGAAGGGGTCAGAAGAAATTCTTGCACCTAGCAGCAGGCTAACAACAGAGGATAATTAAACCTTGACGACTGTCCATTCAAATGGAAGCACCTGGGGACAAAGAGCTGGTTACTGGCCAGGGCAAACTAATTTTTCAAGGCCAGTGGTGACCAAGCAACAGACCAACTGGTGGGGGAACTCTGATCACCTGACAGGGGGTTGAGGCTGACCAGGAAAGTCACATGACTGGGTCAACTAGACATTTATAAAAGAAATGGTCTCTCACTGGCCCTTTTAGAGAAGAGACCAGAACCAGAAGGTAAGGCTATGTAGGAGATGAAGAAAGGACAAGGAAGGATCCCAGACTCCCTAGAGAACTCTGACCAAATCCCAAATGCTTGAGTGGTTGTTTTTTTTGTTTTTGTTTTTTTTAAAAACGGAATTGCAAATGGGTGTTTCTTATTTTGCATGGCTTTGTCTACCTTGTGTTGTCTAAAATAAAGAGTGATTATTTTAGAAATCCTGCTAGAAAATCTGTGTCTGTTTGCTTCCAACTATCACATGTCCCTGAAGGTGTAAACTATAAACCAGAGTGGCGATCTGGGAAAGGGTGTGCTCAGATACTGAGAAGTCTTGGTGGGGCGTGTAGGGCAGGCATCCAGCACTGGTCGTGGGGTCTAGCATGGTTGGATCATGGAATTCCACTTCTGACAAAGACTATCAGGGTATGTCTACACCCAGCCGCTAGTTCGGCGGCTGGGAATCGAAGTTCTGGGTTCGACTTATCGCGTCTTGTCTGGACGCGATAAGTCGAACCAGGAAGTGATCGCCATTGACTGCGGTACTCCAGCTATACGAGAGGAGTACCGCGGCGTCGACGGGGGAGCCTGCCTGCCGCGTGTGGACTGAGGTAAGTTCGAACTAAGGTACTTCGACTTCAGCTACGTTATTCACGTAGCTGAAGTTGCGTACCTTAGTTCGAATTGGGGGGTAAGTGTAGACCAGGCCTCAGACAGAGTCTATGCCCAGAGTGAGCCTGACGCCCAAAGACAAAAGACCCTGCGGGAGCCTAAAGCTTAGAGCACATGGGTTCGGTGTTGGGATTCAAACACAGGGGCCAGGTGAGCCTCTAGCAGGGTGATCTTGACCAAAGCTGTGACAGGTGGAGTATGTATACACTGCAGCTGAGTGTGTCCCCCAGCCTTGGCAGACAGATTTGTGCTAACGGGGCTCAAGCTAGTGTGCTAAAAATAACCATGTGGACATTACCATACTGACAGAGGCTTCGGCTAGCCAACTGAGCTCAAGATCACCCTTCACCTTGAGTCTGAAAGCACATCTTCATTTTCAGACTCATTGAGACAATGAAGAAGTACATTCTGACATGCAATAAGGAGTAGAAACTAGCTAAATGGTATATAGTAATAAAGGCTGATAACTTCTAAAATAACACTCAGAAGAGTTCTGGTACAGGGTACTTATAACTGGTGTAAGTTCTAGGCATTGGTTCATTCCACAGCTGCACTAGTTACTCTGGCAACATAACTGTTCTAACTGTAGTTGAACAACAGAACTCTAACCAAAGATTTAGTTTAAAAAAAAGATGACTGAAAAAACTAACGCTAAAAATAAGGGATTCAGACTGTTGTAATAAAGTATCAGCAGACTTTTTGTTTGTTAGTATATACACCTTTTAGATGACAGTATAATAATGAGTGATATTTTATCCATTCAATAAATGAATAAACATAACAAAGGCAGTTATCTTTTGGACAGATCACAAATTAGCTGAATTTTTTTCTCATCTTTAGGAAAGACAAATTTTAGGAATGTTCTGTTGTCTCAAAATACAGCAGCAGTTAAGATCCTATTTGAAAATATAACATATGAACTTTAAGTGTTAAAGGGAAGCTGCCAACTACTGAAGTTTTAGCTCCAAAATTTCCGCCCTTAAAAATATTAACACAGTGTCAAAAGTCTTCTAAACAGTCGGGGGGGAGGGGAGGGGGAAATCTTGGCTTCTCAATGGTTGTTTGGACTCTACTGCAGCCAAGATTTCACCTAATTACATAGTTAAAAATAAAATCTAGTATTGCTAAGGAACGCCGCCCCCCCCCCACCCAAATAAAACATCTGTTATTTAGGAGAACTTCAGAGTTTGGTGCTGTGCTATTTCAGAGCTGCACTGATAATTGATGATATCCAGTGAAATTGTGGTACAACAATGGAAATAACCAAAGAGACCCACATTTATCACTGTGGTATATGAATGCTATACTAAATGTTTATAAAGGCAATAAAAGTACCCTATGACTTATAATAGATTAGGGTGGGATCCACTTAGTAGCCTGGAACAGTAGATGCATTTGGTTGGGACAATTAGGGAACAGATTCACTGCAATGAATTTAAACTGACTTAATGGTGCATAGTGGCAAAAACTGTTTAAAAGGTACTTTTAAGCCTCTTCCCCCAGTAGTAAGAGAACGTGAATTGTTTTTTGCTGATATATCGTGGGGTGCAGCTCTCCATTTTCTTTAGGTGGTCTCACTACTTTATTATAGATGTTAATGAGTTACCTCAAATGTAGTTTACAAGGAATGTCTTTTATGGTGATTATATAAGGCAGTTGATGAAATATGTGGATAGCTACCAACAATATAGTCCCATGAATCTTTGATTATAATTGGAATAATGGTTAAATTACAATTATATTAGTATATGGAAATTAATGTCAATACAGACTTTATTATATCACAGACCTAAGACAGAGAAAGATCAAACTGCTGTAAACAAAGAGGACAATGATCAATTTAATAGGGTTCTGAATAGAGTAAACTGTATAATAAAGTATGTGCTTCAAGTGCACTGCACAAAACTCTAGAGGGTGTGAACTTCTGTCATTTCAATTTTGTATTTCAATGGTTGAAGATTGTGTACCTCTGTACCACACTTAGGACAGGTAAAATACATGTCAAATAGGCAGTTGCTTTTAATACAATAGTAGCAGAAAACATGTGAGCAGCCTATGGTATGAGGCATAGTTGGCCACTCCCCACATACAGCACATTCCTTGCAATGTGCTGCTAACGTGTTTTCGCTATTGGAAAAAACTGCAATAGGCAAAGACCAAGATGAAATTTTGAGTTTGAGCTTTTGCATGTTAATGAGTGGTAGAAGATAGATTAGAAACTCAGCAAAGCCATGCCATAGAAGTTCCCTGTTCATGTATTCAAACCCTATTTGACGAACATTCTGAGGCCTACAAAAGACAGATCTAATTCCTAAAATACGTTCGGTAAATGTTGCAAATTTTCCTTTCTGAAGGAAAATCAGAAAGTTCAGTAGTCCACAAAGTTTTAAAAGTCCAGCTACAAAATTAATGAAATGCTTGGTTCTGAAGAATGACTCTAGTTGGCGACTGCTGAATAGATCATAGCATCTTTCTTCCAACCACCTTCCGCCAACAGTGCAGATAAGATACCATAACTTCTGGCGTTTGCTCAATGGCTGATATTTCTGTGTTTGAGATAAGTCATTCTTGTACTGAATATTCAGAATAGTCTGTCCCACAGTTGCATTCTTAGAATAGATGGTGAATCTCCACAAGAAAAGCCATAAAAATGCTTTTACTTCTGGTTCAATGTGAGCCAACAGCCCTGGTTTAAATCCATGAAAACAGCTGGAAAACTGGGACCAAACTAGCTGCTCCAAGGCTTTGTTTAGTTCAAGAGCATCCAGCTGACTTACTCTGAGCACAGGGTTCACTCTCTCTGCATTACTGCCATTGGAAGTCATGTCTTCACCACAGCTTTCTAGGAATAAATACAGATAAATTATACTATAAGCTTAACATTTTGCATTGTTTATACTTTAATACAGTTCATATAAAATTGTGAACAACAAAATTGAACAAGAAGCAACAAAGCCATCTCTTTAGGAAATATTAACACAATAGTACACACTGCAACGAGCACCATTCAAGAAGTGTCATTAATAACTTTCCATCTTAAAATTACTTAAACTGCACTATTATTCCACACAGTAACACAGCTGTATCCTCTTTGAGCTATTCAGGATACTAATCACACATTTAGTGCTTCACTATAAGACTTAATGCATTGCCTGATGCTAGAAGAGTGATCAAATACTAAAATGAAGAGGAAGATTAGCAACAGTAATTGTAAAACAGTATACTCGTTTATGGAACTTAATGTGGCAAACAGGTATAGTAAGTAAACTCTTGGGGAGGCGGGGGGAAGTAGTGAAGACAAACCTTGCCATATCAACACATCATAAGTTGCTGATAAACTATATACTATAGAACAGGGGTTGGCAACCTTTCAGAAGTGGTGTGCCGAGTCTTCATTTATTCACTCTGATTTAAGGTTTCGCGTGCCAGTAATACATTTTAATGTTTTTAGAAGGTCTCTTTCTATAAGTCTAATATGTAACGTAAATAAGGTTTTTAAAACATTAAGAAGTTTCATTTAAAATTAAATTAAAATGCAGAGCCCCCCAGACTGGTGGCCAGGACCCAGGCAGTGAGAGTGCCACTGAAAATCAGCTCGCATGCTGCCTTTGGCACCCGTGCCCTAGAAGATATTAGGAGATCTGAGAACTATGCATAGAAGAAATATGGAATGTAAACAAGTTGGGGATAATAAAGCCTTTAAAACAAAGACAGTGATATGTTTAAAAATGCTAAAAAGATCAAATAAATATTCAGCTCTCACACATAAATTATCTTACAATACATCAGTGATGCCTGCATGTATTTTCTAATCTCTTTTGACAGGTGCAGGGTTTTACTACTGGTTGTATAACAATTTTTCTGGCAAGATGATTAATGTATGCTGGTAACATCAACTAATGTGTACTCTTTTCCTGCCTGAGTATTAGAATGAAAAATAAAGTTATCCTAAAAAAAAAAATAGCTTGGTGCATATGTAATCATATTAACAATTCTGTGCAATGGGAAAACAGTAGTATACAGTACAAGGGCATCAAAGTAATTTTGTATAAAAGTCATGGCATAACATGTCTCAGAAATGCAGGATTCTGCTGTGGGGTGCCTGATGTAGTGGTCCTTTCACTGAGATACAACAAATAAAAATGAGTTGCTAGGAGGCCTAGTGATCTAATAAGTGCACAGGTTGCTACCACAGATTTGGGGTTTTAAACTGAGCTCCTCACAAAACAGACCAATAGGACTTAATTGCACTGTGGAGGTAGCATGTTCAGTTGATTTAGAAAAGTTGGATAGGAACAGAATGAGTCTCTCCAGAGAACAAAAGCCTGAAATGGAATTTACCAACTCTAGAGGGAGCTGCATCCAGTCCTTATTTGTTAAAGAGAAAGTTGCCATAACAGAGGTTTTTTTTAAGAGATGAATGAATTCTCCTTGAACACACACCCCCCTCCCCCGGGGGGGAAGAGAGGAGAGAAGAGAAGAGAAGGAGGAATGGGCATGCAAGTAGGGAGAAAAATACTGGCAAAACTGTAACAGTTCCAAAAGCTTTAAAAGTGATCTACATCTGCAATTCAAAGCCCAAATTACAAAAACTTTAGAGCAGTATTCCTTTCTGTACCTACTAGGAGACTTAGGCCTGGTCTACATTTGGGAGGGGGAAATCGATCTAAGTTACGCAACTTCAGCTACGTGAATAATGTTGCTGAAGTTGACGTACTTCGATTGACTTACCGTGGTGTCTTCACCGCGGTGAGTCAATTGCTGAGGCTCCCCCGTCGACTCCGCCTGCGCCTCTTGCAGCGGTGGAGTACAGGAGTCGACGGGAGAGTGCTCGGATCGATTTATCACATCTAGACTAGACGTGATAAATCTACCTCCGCTGGATTGATTGCTGCCCGCTGATCCGGCGGGTAGTGTAGACATACCCTCAGTACTATTGCAAGAAACACATTGTTGAGACAAATCTTGCAGTAGATGTGATTAGTTTTTCCATGTGTGCTCGAGAGAAACAATATTAAAGTAAAGGAGATCAGAAAAAATTCAAGATGTTGGCATGCTAAGCTTTTCTTGTTGCCTATGGGTATATCTAATCCTCAAACTTGGGGTGTAATTCCTAGTTCAAGGAGACATACTTTGTATTAGCTCTTATCAAACTAGCACACTAAAAATAGAGTAGTTGTGGTGGCATGAGCAACAGGAGGGGCGAGTCAGCCTGAGTATGTACTTGTCTGAGATGATGGGTACATACTCGAGGAGACTAGCCATTCCCGCTGCTTGCGCTGCCATGAAGTGTAGTCAGACTCCATGGCCATAGCTAAGAATTCTTCTGTTTAAGTCCTGGAAATTAATTTATATAAGTACTTCTAGATAATGTAAGCCACAACAGACCATCTATTAGCATGGGCTCTTATCCAGCAAACCACTTAAGCACATGCATAATTTTGACTTTAATAGGACTATTCACATGCTTAAAGTTATGCACATACTTAAGTGCTTTGTTGGATTGGGGCCATACATCACACTCACTACCCTCCATCACTATGACCGTGTTGAAGAAGCCTGCACTTAACTAGGGTTGTTTGGACATTCAGAATGTATATTAAAGGAAAGATTCTGAAGTTGCTCCCATTGATTTCAATGTTATCCATATGTGAACATCAGAGGGTAGAATTTGAAATGCCTATTCCCATCTGAATGATAAATATGTATGAGAATCTCAATGGTCTTGTGGCTAACTTTTGGTGAAATAATAAGCCTCCACTCCACATATTTCCTGTTTTGCAGCAATGGTGGTTTCTTATTTTACTCTGTTTATCCACTTTTATTTTTAAACAGTGGTAACATAAAAGGCCTCCTTTGATTACTTTCCCTTCCCCAACAACAAAGTTATTTCAATGCTTTGTTACATTTGCACTTTGTATTGTTGTCACAGATACTGGCCCTACCATTGGAACAAATATGCAGCCTGGTATCTGTACCAATAAATAAATAAATACACCGCCTACAAGTATCATCATCTTTCAGCTTGTATTTTTTCATTGCAATTCTTCATTTCATATCCTTCTGTTTTATACCAATCTCACCAAGAATCTTGTTTTCCGCCATGCCACCTAATTAACTTCCATTTCTCCTAGTCCCTACTGCTTGTTATTCTCTTTTCATCATCTTGCTTTAGATCATTTTAAACTAGTGAAGGGACCAGAATTGTATACCCAATAATAAATAAAGACAAACACCAGTGTTTCATTTAAGTATATCACCAGGCTAGGAGTACGTGAAGGGAACGCTCAAGGCAAAAATCAAGAACAGATAAACAGTATAGTACATTCTACTAAAATCAGTGTGATTAAGTTGTTACATAAATGTTAAGACAAAATGATTTAAAACTAAATATTAAGATCTCCTGCTGACATTTTATCACCACAGCCAATTGTTTTTATTTCACAGAAAAAAATCAGTTTTCCAATAATAAAGTCTTTTCTTTCCTTAAATAAGCCCATGCTTTGCTTTTAGTTTAAAAAAAAAATAACCCAAGAATCTCTTGTACAGTGCATTCCAAAATAAAAAATTGTATATCACAAAGAAAATAGGAATTTCTCCAATTAGATTTTAATGCTGTTATTGAGTATTGTACAAATTATGAATGAATATTTTATTTAGAAACATATTATTGACAAATCTATCAATAGTAATGTGAGTATTGTCAAGGGCCTGTCAATATTAATGTAATTATGATTAAGGGGATAACATGGATTTTAGCTATAATACCAAGTAACATCTCCTACATTGCTGCTATCAATATAAGCATTATTATTGACCTGTTCTGAGACACTCCGTACTAGATGTATTACCATTAGGCATATTTGTCAATGCATTCTGCCTACAAACATTCGACGTTTAAATTTACAGCCCTATAACCTTTGTCAGCAGAAACGCACGAATCCAAGTAATCTCTAGGGTATCATTCTCCCCTACCCCGCCCAGCTATTCCCTTGTAATAAACTAATTTCCACTGTTCCAATGTCACTGCCATCTTGTTCCCCCTTTTCTATCATAATCAACAGAAATATTGCATTTACATATTATTTCTATGCATAAGCTTCGATTTAATATTTAAGTTTTTAAAAAACGTTCAAATGAAAACAATTTTTAAAATGTGTTCTGTTCACAACTGTTGTAATTAAAAACCTCATTTGGAATGTGATCCTGCATGCTTTAAATTAGTAGGATCATTCCTGTTGACATAAATGGGTTCAGGATTGAGCACTTTAAAATGATCTCTCTTCTGCAGCAAATTGAGTTAGTCTTCGTGTCATAAAAAAACATATAGGAGACAAAACAATGGCATCCTGATGGAATTTAGGAGGATACCTGTTCCAGAAAAAAATCGCAAATACTGGCATTGGAAAACAAGTTCATAAAACTTTCACTACTCAATACTGATTAACGCAAGCCTTCATTAGTATACACGGATATACAGGAGTCCAAGATAAGAAAATATAAAAGTAGCCAGTGTCCAAACATTTACTTTAATATCTTAATCATTAAATCACAAAGGAATGCAGTCCACACCATGGGCTATCAACTAGAACTATCAGCCCCAGATAGTACCCAATAAAACCAGAAGTGAATCATCCCCCTTGCATGGAAGGGGGACTCTGACTCCTCTTCAACACTACCCACCCTGAGATTGGGCTCCATACACAGGAATGTGGTAGGCACTGGGCATGCTGGGGAAGAGTCACGTCATCTCCCCTCCAGCCCTGTAGGGCTCACCTGGAATAGATAATCAGCAACTCAGGCTCTTTTCTGCAGTCCCCAGCAGGTGTCACAGGGAAGTGC